AATTAATGTATAGAGAATTGCATAACCGGAAGTGTATAATGTCATCGGGTGCAATGTTTGGAATCGTCCGAAATCGATAGATTCTTCAGCGTTCCTGCAATGAAAATAACACAGCTGAAAAATCAACAGTTGCCGGTTGGAAATTGATTTGCGAAGTGCCTGAGTGCATCGTCATACGGAACGGCAGCACCTGCACACATCAACACCCTTCCACCACCCCCGCGCGCGCTTTTCCGCAACCCCCTGCCAGCATCATCCACGTCCGCATCACCAGAAACGGACGGTGATTTATGTGCCATGCGTTATGATGTGATATTTAGTCGCAAATAAAACAACAGATATCTGACATCCGACATATCTCAGCTGCAACCAAACGCACCGACATTTCACATTTTAACAAACAAAACAAAAACATCAACCCCCTTCGTCTTCAGTAAGTCTCATTTAATATTTGATGTTATTTCCTCTCTCTCTCTCTCTTTCTCACTGTATCTCACTGTATGTATATATTTGTTTTGTCTGTCTGTAATGTTTATGTTGTAAGAGTTGTGTAACCCCTTCCAAACAGGATAAACAAGGCAATTTTGCATGCAATAAATTGCAACAGAGAAATCAATACTGCTACAACGACTCAATAGAAAATTAATAAAAACAAAGCAATTTGACTGTCAGTTAAATTCATAAACAAAACTGTAAATCTAACGCTAATTCGATCATTCAAAACGTCATTTTGTGTGTGTGTTGGGGTTGTTTTTTTTTCTTTGTGCTACGGTAGTCTAGCAACGAGAGCTGCGTTTCCATGGAAACGCAAGGATTACCGGTGGCCCCGGATGACGGTCGCCTTGCAAATTGTACTAATTTCAATCGATTGATGCAACAACATCCATCAACACATTTCATCGCATTAAGTACAACTTGTAATAGTTTCAATCAGGTCTAAACTATTTAATGCCAATCTGAACATGTTCAATATATGATTACTTTTATTAAAAACAATGTGTATTTTCAATTTATTTAACTTTATAACGTTATTAAAACTGTAACGACTTGTCAACTAGAGACAATTAATACAATTTATTATTGGTTTTTCTTAAGTTTCAATTTAATTGGAATAATTTACTTTTGTAGATGTAGATTTTCTATATTTTACTGAAAGGAAAACTAAAATTTTATGAAAAATACTGATTATTTTTTGAAATTTTCAAAAACTTTAATTTTCTATTATTTTTTTTAAACAAAATTATAAATTGGTGAAAATTATTAATTAATATTTCATATTTTTAAAAAACATAAATTTTGTTTATTTTACTGAAAATAGAAATTAAAATTTATGAAAACAACTAATCAATATTTCTTATTTTGAAACATATCAATTTTGTATATTTTACTGAAAAAAAGAACTGAAATTTTATGAAAATTATTAATTCATTAGAAACAATTTTGTACATTTTACTGAATAGAAAACTGAAATTTTGTGAAAATTACTAATAAATATTTCTTAATGAGAAACACTTAAATTTTCTATATTTTACTGAAATTTTATGCGAAATTACTAATCAATATTTCATATTTTGAAACATATCAATTTTGTATATTTTACTGAAAAAAAAAAACTGAAATTTTATGAACATTATTAATTCATTAGAAACACTTAAATTTTATACATTTTACTGAATTGAAACTTTATGGCAAAATATCATTAATATTACATGTAAAATATTCTCAGTAAAATAGAGAAAATCAATATGTTTCAATGACTTTCTATATTCTACTATAATTGAATGAAAATGACTAATCAATATTTCATATTTTGAACCATTTACATAAAATACATACATTTTACATAAAACAAAACTGAAATTTCCTGAAAAAATTACTAATTAATATTTCTTATTTTGAAATACTTTTATTTTCTATACTTTACTAAAACAACAATACTGGAATATAATGAAAAATATTTAGAAATTTTATGAAAATTACTAATTAGTAAAAAACACTTAAATTACTAATTAATAATTCTTATGTGGAAACATTTAAATTAATAAGAAAGAAAAAACATGCAATAACGTATGTTTGTTTAATTAATAATTTCTATCGAAAAACTTTGTAAATTATTGCATTATTATACAAATTATTAATAACGAAGCAAATCCAGCTGCAGTTATAACGTAACAAGAGATTCTACTTAGAAAAAGTACATTTTGAAGCGAGAAAAATGGTTCTCATTAAAAAAATTCTTTCACGTTAATATTAATTTGGATGCGAATAGGGATGAAAAGGAAAAAAAACACTAATGAAGGCAGAAAAATAAGCATAGCCTTCCAGGTTTTAGTTTTAAATCTTTCTATCTCAATTTTGTTTTGTTTCGCTATTCCTTTTGTTGCTGCATAATGATTTGACGTGGATGCGTTTCGAATCGATAGGAGCCCTTTGAATTTGCAAAAGGTCAGAGGTGAAGTGGAAACGGGCAAGCGTAAACTTTGCAGCAGGAGAGGAGACTGTGGAGAAGTTTCCTCACAATTTTGACTGCAAAATTGAAGTCATCATTAACTTTTGCAATTCTTTAATTCACATCACTAAAAATATGATTGTTCAAACTATTATTAGTTAATTAGTGTCTTTTTATGAATAAAATCACATAATTTCTTAGTTTGTAAAGTTTTAAATGTAAAAAATATTGTCTTCATTCTATAAGTTACGTTAAAAAAGGTAAAACAAAAGTTTTGGAGCCCCACGTTGAGCGCCAAAGTTTTTATTTGTTTCATGATAAATTATTACATTGCACGTCCTATTGATTGCAAATGCAGTGCATATTTTATGACGCGGAGAGTTCGCGTATTTACGTTGCATAATTTATAGCATTTCCTTTGTATGCTAAAAGAATGGTTGATGAGCGTTGTTTCATGAAATATTAAAATTATCTCTTTCGACGTAAATTTCGAATACGAATCAGTTTTTATTGATGATTTATGAAATATTCATTAAATTATATATATATAACACAACTTTCCATTATATTTATATATAAAATAAACTTTGTAGCAAAATGTAGTGCATTTAATGAAATTGTTTCAATAGATTTTGTATCAAATTTAAATTATGACAGCTTATAACAAGAGAACGGTAAATACTACAAATATCGTAGTAGGCTCATTTGAAACGTTATATTTTTTCTTCAATATACATTTAAAATAATGTAATTGGTATGCGTGGTTATTCAGTAATTAAATAAAACGTGAAGACATTAAAAAAAATTGATTAATTGCAAAAAAAAAATGCAATTTTCTTAATTTTTTTTTAATAATTGGAGTTAAAAAAGTTAAATATCAATTTTAGTATTACTTATTGATGTTTATATTGAAAGTTGAAATAAAAGTCTATTAATATTAAATATAACAAAAAACATTAAAGAAACATATGGAATTAATGCATTTCGAACTAAAAATATTTTGTATCAAATCTCATTTTTGACAGCTTATAACAAGAGAACTGTAAATATTACAAATATCGTAGTAGGCTTATTGGATAGGTCATAGTTTTTTCTTTAATACACATTTTAAAAAATGTAATTGGTATGCGTGGTTTTTCAGTACTTAAATAAAACGTGAAGACGTTATAAAAAATCGTTAATTACGAAAATGTGTTTTTTTAATAATTGGAAAAAAATATCTTAAATTTCAATTTTAGTTTTATTTATTGATTAAATAAATGATTGATTAATTAAATGAATTAAAGTAGTTGTAAAAATTATGTTAATTACAAAAATGTTTAATTTAATTTATTTTTTTAAATAATTGTAAAAATCACTGTGAATATCAATATTAGATTAAATTATTGATTTTTGTTTTGAAAGATGATATAAAGGCCCATTGATATTAAATAAATCAATCCATTTAAGAAATCTATAGAATTAACGCTATTGAAATTATTTCATTTTTGATAAAATATGTTATATAAAATTTAAATTTTGACAACTTATAACAAGAGAACAGTAAGGACTACAAATATCCTGGTATGTTCATTGGAAAAAACAGAGTTTTTTCTTTAATATACACTTTAAATAATGTAATTATATTGCGTGGGTGTTGAGTAATTAAATAAAATTTAAAGTCATTAAAAAAATATCGATAATTACAAAAATGTTTAATTTCATATATTTTTTTTTAATAATTGGAAAACAAATCCTAAACCTCAATATTAATTATCGATTTTTGCATTGAAAGTAGAAATAAAAACCCATTGATATTAAATTAATCAAAACATTTAAGAAAAATGCAAATATTTCAGCATTTTGAAAAAAAATATATATTATCAAATCTCAATTTTGACAGCTTATAACAAGAGAACGGTAAGGACTACAAATATCGTAGTAGGCTCATTGTAAAGGTCATAGTTTTTTCTTTAATAAAAATTTTAACTAATTTAATTATTATGCGTGGTTGTTCAATAATTAAATAAAATGTAAATACGTTCAAAAAAATGTTAATTAAATATTTTAAGTAATCTTGTTTATTAACATTACTTGCAAACATATTTATGTATATTGAAAAAAAATGATAAAATCAAAACTATAATGATTTTTAGTAAATAAGAAAGTAAGAATTTTATAGTAAAACAAAGGTAAAAATTTATTTTTTTTCTTATTGAAACTGTAGCATTCGTACGAACTTTTTTTTTACATAAAATTGCTTATAGATTACATAAATTAAGTAAATTATTATGTCTATATGAAATAACTATTGAAATCAATACTTTAATTACTTTAATCAATTGGAGAAATAACTTAAGAATTTTATCTTTAAAAAACAAATAAATTGTTAGAAAAACTTGTATGAAATTTCTGCTGAAAAGCATTTATACTTGTTGCAAAAAAACACCCTGAATATTGCTGACATCAAGATGATGATGATGAGATGAACACTTCTGATGGTTTTCCATGAATATCGTGTTTAAATTTGCATCTAAATACCAAAAGAATAGGAGAAATTGTCAAAGGAAATAGGAGATCAGCTGTTATTATTGGATGCGTCCTAGAAAATTTGAATGGTGCTCCTGCAAAGGCCGTTTGCGCAAACCGCGAATCGCCGGGCGACGATCAATGAATTTACAGGTTCCTGCTGCGCGAGTTGCCGCCTCTACGTACGGCTCCTTCCTCCTGCACCTCCACCAATCAACCAAAAAAAAAAAGAAGAAGAAGAAGAGGAAACAAGGACACAACCTTGACCAAGAAAGCCAGAGAAAGAGAGAGAAGGATAGTTAGAGCGGAGCGGCGGCAGCACGGTAGTCGGAGTTGGTGCACAATCGCGCGAAGTCCGCTCCTGCAACAGCTTCAATAACCGGAGTCAATTGATAACATCGCGAATCGTGGATGCAGCAGTTGGTGAAGTTAGTGATTTGGTGCTAAAGAGGAAGGAGCGAATTATATAAGGAGAATCATCTTGTTGTAAAAGGTTTGTTTATTTTATGCACGATTTCTTGGATCTTTAGATCTAGGTCATATCCTCTCGTGATGGCGTTTGTTGCGCGGACACTTGTTGAAAGTGCTTTATTATCCGAAGACAAAAAAAAAAATGTGTAAATAAATGAAATGCAGCAGCGAATGTAACGGATCTCGCGCTCTGATTAAACGTCTGCACGTCTTCGTCGAAGCGCCTTTCGGGAATACCAATCAGCTGCACATGATCTCAGACTATCATACCTTAAAAATGAACTGTTAAATGTGACTAGGTAAGCAAATTGAAATGCAGTTTTCCATTTTCAAATGGAAATTACGACGCAAATGCGGTTTTTCCCACTCGATATTATTATGATAATCTTACTCATACGTATCTATTAGTGGAATGAAAAAAACAGTTTTCTTAACTCACTTTTCTAAGTAAATCTATAATTAGTTGTGATGAAACAATAATAATACGAAATATTAATAGAAAAAATAGTTAAATTTCTGTTAATTATTGCTATTTCATCATTTTTTTTTATTCGAAGCAAATTCGTTTTTTTCTACTCGTTATATTTGTGATAATCTTACTCTTACGTATTTATTGATGGAATAGAAACAGTTTTCTAAGTAAATCTACAGACAATAGTACAAAAAAATAATTGTTAGTTTATATTATTAACAAATATTCAAAAGTTAAGTCTCAGTTATTAATTAATGATTAGTGTTTTGAATTATTTCTTGTCAATAAAAGAGAATCAAAACAATAGTTTTTGAAGAAAAAAAAACAATAAAGTGCCCCACGTTGGGCGCCAAATTTGAAAAATTTCAATTCTTTCCTAACATCAACTACTCTTTGATCTATTATTTAATACTGAAATATTTGCAGTAAAACTTTGCTTTTAAATAGTGCAGACAACAACTGTTAGTTTACCTTAACAATTTCTGTTAACTGCACTATTCAAAAGTTAAGACTAATATATTAATTAATCATTAGTGTTTTGAATTATTTCTTATCAATAAAAGAGAATCAAAACAATTGTTTTTGAAAAAAAAACAATAAAGTGCCCCACGTTGGGCGCCAAATTTGAAAATTTCAATTCTTTTCTAACGTCAACTACTTTTTGATCTATTATTTAATACTGAAATATTTGCAGTAAAACTTCACTTTTAAATAGTGCAGACAACAACTGTTCGTTTATCTTAACAATTTCTGTTAACTGCAATATTGAAAAGTTAAGACTCAGATATTAATTAATCATTAGCGTTTGGAATGATTTCTTATGAATAAAAGAAAATCAAGACAATTGTTTTTGAAAAAAAAAACAATAATTGTTCCACGTTGGGCGCCAAATTTGCGCTTTATCAATTACTTATTTGCAGTAAAACTTTTCTATTAAAAACTTCACTTTTATATATAGTATAGACAATAATTGTTTGTTTACACTAACAATTATTGTTAATTATACTATTGAATATCAGATTGTAATTAATTATTTGTATTTTGAATGATTTCTTGTCAATAAAAGTGAATCGAAACAAAACAAAATTGAAAAATGAACAAAGTGTCCCACGTTGGGCGCCAAATTTAAAATTTCTTTACCATTAAGTATTACATTCCAACACGTTATTTACAGTAATGATTCGTTGTCAGGGCAAAAGAGAATCAACAAAAGGCGGCAAATTTGAAAAAAAAAAATGTAAAAAACGAAACAAAACGTATATTTATGCGTAAAATTAGAAAGATTTAATACTTAATAAATTTAAAATAATTATAAAGAAATTTTAAGTTTTACTTTTACAATATTACTTTTACTTATGTACTTATGTAGTTACATTCTTAATTATAACAAACTTACTCTTCTTTACTAATTACAATATTGTTATTACAAATAAATAACAATATTATTTATTTATTATGAAATTTACTGCACTTTTAATCAAATATCTTACATGCAAGAAGACTATTTTTAACATTTCTTTTTATCTTGTTTACAAAATTTCTGATAATTTCTCGCAAGTCTCGACATTGAAATCCGAATAAACAGATAAGCGAGTATTTTCTTCTCGTATACCCGCAATTATTACGTGATATTCCGAATCATTTATTCGTATTATATAAATCCATATTTATAATCACATATTATTGAAAAACTAAAGGAAATTGTAGTTTCCAACCAAATAATTGTAAAGTTATGTAATTTTTTACTCTCATTATTTCTTATCTAATCATATTATCATACGTAACACACTGACTTAGTAAGTTACGTTTTTTAAACTTCTTTTTACTAGTTTTACTTACTTTTTTTTCAAGTTTAAAATAAATATGTCAAATAATTATTGTAATGAATCTAAATGTACTTATAAATCAATGAAATTTAATGTAAATTTATAAACTATAATACAAGAATTATTGTTATTCTAAAATCGTGTTTTGAAAATTTGAAACTCGTTTCGCTAATGAATTCCAATAGGAAACATTTGAAATGTCGCTCACATTCTATTATTCCACAACTATCTAGATTTGTTTCACATAAGTTAAAACAAAAACAAAAAAAGTATTCATAATGAAAGTGAACAGCCTTCTGATTCGAAACTTAATAATCGGTCCAAGGTTAATAAAAAAAAGTAATTAATTTGTTTTGTTTTCGTAGCACATTTTATATTAGATTTTCATCGAATATAGTAATTGTGTTAACATTGTTTCATAACAATTATAGTTTATATAATATTAATAAAGAATAGACAAATAAACGGACAAATTATAGAAAATATGAGAAAATTTTGAATTCAAAGGAATATTATTGAAATTTAAATAAATTTTTGTTTAAAAAACATTGTTATTTGTATTTAAATGATTTCTTGCTAATAAAATCTCAAAACAAAAGAAAAAATGAAAAATTTACAAAGTGTCCCACGTTGGGCGCCAATTATTTGTTTATAATAATGAATCGTTGTCAAAACAAAAGAAAAACAATTGACTTGATCAGTGTTGTAAGAGGTGTTTCGCAAATGTATCGCAGGTGTTCAATTAAACACAGGTGTTCACGCAAGTGTTCAATTAAGACGCAGGTGTTTATGCAGGTGTATAATTAAAAAACGCAGGTGTTCAATTAAAACACAAGTGTTCAATTAAAACGCAGGTGTTGACGCAAGTGTTCAATTGAAACACAGGTGTTTATGCAGGTGTATAATTCAAAAACGCAGGTGTTTAATTAAAACACAGGTGTTCACGCAAGTGTTCAATTAAATCGCAGGTGTTCACGTAGCTGCAAAATTTTATCTTTGTTTCAACTAAAACTTAATGAAAACCAATAATAATTGAATAAAAATACAACTTAAATGAAAGTAATCAACATGTTTATTAGTACGTCGAAAGCAGTATTGATTTTTCTCCTTTTTGGGTAAGGGTTGCAAAAAAAAAGTTCTTTTTTTTTGTATTTAGAGTTGTTGTAAGTTTCCAATTGGTAAATATTCTTTCAGCGATGTTTTGTTTGGACAATGTCGTGACCGGCTTCGACATCGAGATGAAAATCTCGAAGAACAACGAGGTTCTTCAGATGATCGAGAAGATCCTTCTCGCGTCGAGCGGTATCGGCCTCCTCTTCGACATATCCTTCTTATGCGTGGTCCTCCGCTGCAAGAACCTCTGGACCAAATTCTATTTAGGTCTCGCCAATTTGGCCATAATCAATGCCATTATGCTGGTAAATATGATGGTCTATTACATGATGAAAGCCTACCGCATCTATGATGATGTCTACTTGGACTTCTTGGGATTCCTCAAAGGCTTCGATTATATGATCAAGATCGGGATGGCCCTGATGACGATGCTCTTCTGCTTCGAGATAGACGTTCCTCCATCCATGCTCTTCATCTTCAATTTGGTTTACTTCTTCGTCAGTCTCGGCACGAACTTCTTCTTCCACAAGTACATCCTGCTGATTGACATCGCTTTCTTCTTGGTCTACGCAATGTTGTTGATGTTCATGTACTATAAGATCAAACGGCTGGGTGCACCGTTGAATATACTGGATAGGGCTCGATACAAGCGGATGATCGTATACTTCAACCACATCATACTCATCACCACCTACTACATGGCCTACCAACTCTTCGTCTACTTTAAATGGGAATACATTCTCATATTCCAAGTACCGCATTATCTGGACACCTTCTGGTACTACTTCTACCTGTTCTACATAGACGTCAACTTCAGATTAGCCAATCAGCACACGTTTTTCCTGTTCCAACATTTGAAAGGAATCCATCTCGTCGATGCTGCAGACATCGAGGCTCTTCCCATCGAAAAGAAAGGAATGCCCGAATGCTACTAAAAGAAAAACATCTATTATTCACAATTTCTAAATCATACACAACAAATTCTTCAAAAGAAAATTTGAGACAATAAAATTTTATTTTCCAAATTGAATAATCAAATTCTGACATAACTTTTTGACAAAATTCATTCATAAACATATAAATGTACACTTAGACAACTGGCAAGATTTCGGTATCCCTAACTAGAGAATTCAGAAGAAGAAAAATTGTTTAACTTTTTAAGTTGTTTAACGATTTTCCTTCTTCAAAAATTCTCAAAAATATATATAAAAAAAAAAGGTTTTCTTTGGGGACTTCATTTCAATTATATTTTATAAAAAATAATCAATAACATTTAATTAATTTCTAAATTCCAAATCAAATTACATTTTTGTATCAAAGTCCCTTACGTCACTTTTGACGTTTAATTTGATGTAATCAGTGAGTATATTTACACTGTTATATAATTATATATAAAAAATCAAATATTTATTATTGAATAATAAGATTTTAAATGCTAAATTATACAATTCAAATTTGACAATTATGACGTTTCGCAAATTATACTTTGTTCCGTGCGCAGTGCAAAGTGACATCATGTCACTTTGCACTGTGCATGGAACTGTCATTTTTTTAACTGTCAACTTAAAATTGACAAGTTTGACATTTTGTTGGTTATATTTTAGTCTAATGCATTTTTTACTTTTAACAGAATTTAATTGCATTTAAAAATAATTGTATAATAATTTTATTTTAATATTGGATTGAACAATTTTAATTAATTGTTGCTATTACACGCATATACGGACATAACTATAAAATTAAGTGTTTATAACCAAAAATTAATATAATAAATAAACAATGGATGTTGTGATTTAGGATTAAAGGAGATGAAGGCTTAATCAAGAACAGATTGCGAAAGATTTCTTCTCAAAAAAAAAATTCTTCAATTTTATCTTGCATATCTCGATTATACGAAAAATATCAGTATTTAAAAGAAACGTAAGTAAAACTGTTGTTTTACAAGAGAAAAACCAAAAAAAAATAATATATATATATAAAATATATAGATAATAAAAAGTTATATAACTATTAATTAATTCGATTATTATAGAGATGTCTATATAGTAAAAGAATTGTATGTTGTGATTTAGAAATGTGAAGGCTTGAAAAGACATTATTTTTATGATGCAATATAAGTTTTAAAATTTACGCGAATTTATTAATCCAACAAAAAGTTAAGCAATTTTGATGAGAAGTTTACTTCTTAATAACAAAAATCAATTTTTCATTGAAAATGTATTGGAAATATTCGTGCTTTTTTTTCAAAAAATTTATTGAAACAATAAATAAAGAGCAAATTGAATCTGAAAGGAATGAAGTAAGGATTATAAAGACCTTGAGATAATAATAATATTTAAAAAAAACTAATTGTAGTAAAAAATGAAAAAGAACGAAAAGTCTGCGAGATTTGACTGAAAATGGACTGAATTTACAAATCTAACGTTTTCATTTGTATTGCATCTAAAAAAAAATATTTTTTTGAATTTCTATTGCATAGATTTATTGTAAATTCAATGTTAATATTAAGTATAGAAATTAAAGTTTAAGTTAAATATTAAAGGACCACAATAGAAATATTCTAAGTTTAAAGAGAAAAATAGAATAGAATTTCCAATTAGTTAGTAAATTTGCAAATTATTTGTTTATTTTCTAAGCGTTTTCAATCATTTTTCGTGAATTTCTGAAAATCTTTAAAATAAAATTGGAAAAATTCATGAAAAATTAATGAAATTAACATTTGGTAATTTAATAATTTCATCAATTCTAGTCATTAATTTATTTATATATCATTGAAGTATTCCGGTATTTTCATTATTTTTATGAATAACCAACAGTTGAAAATACTCGTCCGACTGTTTTCTTAATTATAGTAAATTAGATAGTTAAGTGACGCTTTTAAAGTTAATTGTCATCTACATTTTAACCTCCATTTACTGACATTGACGTCTGTCATCTGCAATGACGTTTCTATTATCTATGATGACATAACAATCTTCGCGTTTTGACGAGGCAGTTGTGAAAAGTAAATTTAGGTTAGGATCTAGGTGACAGTTAAATATAGGATCGAGTCCGAAGCGACCCAATTTCATTATGCCAAATAGAAATGTACGAGTTGACGGTTCAACAAGTCCTGTCAATTCGACATATATTCAATATATATTTAAGTGAAACAATTTAGTGTCTGTAACTGTGGAATTATTATTGTTATTATTATTGTACGTACGCAAAATTCCTTTAGGATTTAAGAGAAATGTACGAATTTAAAATTTCCATGCATTATATAATATATATGTAAAAAAAATATACTTCATTAAATGTAAAACAAATGAATTAATCGCGTAACCAATTATTGAAATTTGCATTTGTTTTCTTTGTATGAATGACATTTGTCACAATTTCAATTCAAAAAAAAAATTAATATTTATAATTATTTATTTGTTAATTTGTTATTTTAAGCTGTTATTGTTGTGTTTGTCCTATTTCAGAGAGTTATATAATTTGTTTTAAAATTTTGTTTATTTCATTGTTGATTTACCTTGCCTACTATTTACATCTGTTACGTTTATGTTTTGTTACTATGGCAACAAATATAATAAATATATAATCCTATAATTGTACATAGACAATTTATTCCTGTAGTTAATTAATACATTTAAAGGACAAATTAAAATGAGCTTTAAATATTAGTGAAGCATCGAAACGAACAAATTCGTAAAGTGAAAATAAAAATATAGAAAACTTTCAAAGTATATTTTTCTTCAAAGAGATAAAGTTTTATGCGAAGTTTAAGTGGAAGTAATTAGTGCAATTCGTTAATTACGTTCTGGCGTGTGAATTAGTTATGAATTGGAGTGGTAGTATAATTCGTGCGCTTAGCGTGAATCGGAAACGTTCCAATTCGCATTTCGTTAATTAAACCTCACGTTGCGTTCCACAAAAACGATTACGTGCGAAAAATAATAAAAAAAAACAAAACGATGATTGCTTTCGTTTAGGTCAACAACACGCGATTACGCAATCAAAAAAAAATGAGTAGAAGACAAAACAAAAACTTTAATTGAAAAACAGAAGTTGTTGCATGACCATAGCAACGGTTGTTAATGTAACAATAATCGAAAAAAGTATTGTAAATATGAGACGAATTCTTATTTTACGAAAGAATAATTGTCATGAATTAATTCGTAAAGGGTTGAACAACTTGTATGTAAGTAGTAAAGTTTTTGGAAAAATACAAGACAAGTACTTGTAATACGTGACACAGTATGTATGTACTTTTATATATGCATATTTTGTTAAATAACTTGTCTTATGGTGTGTAACGTCGTTTATGTTTTATTAGTTTGCTAATTTAATGTTAATTAAACAGCAGTTGGTAACAGGTGAAAACAATATCAAATTCAAATTGATTTGTATCATTTGTACCAACTGTCAGATTTGAAAGTCTCTAAATTTTGTTTCGTCCAATTTGAACAAGTGCGTCTGATAGTCGTCTGATAAGTGGGGGCGTCCATAAATTGGTGGCTTTCCGTTCGCGCTTCCAAATAACAGGATGTAGCAATTACCGGATTTAATCGGTAACATTCATCACTTGTCCATCTCATTACGATGATAATTGTGATGAAATCTAATGTCCCCTTTCGTGTTTCAACAGATGAAAGCGTTGCGGTTTTCGTTCGCAGTGATCTTCCTCTTCTGCGGAGGAATCTGCATATCTGCACAGGATCCGGAATGGAAGTTGAACTGCACCCCGAAGAAAGTCACAATTCACATCAATCATTCGGAGACGATAACGTGCGAAATAACAGGTAATGATTTTGATCTTAATTATGACGTAACATTTAGAAACGTCAAATTGTTAGTTACCATAGTTACGGATATGATAATTGATAGTTCAACGTTAACTTGATGATGGAATTATATATATTTGCAATTATGTTTTAGGTCCTAAGATTTATTCAGAACACTGGTTGGTGGTTAACAGTAGTAATCCAAGTGTAGTGGAGGCTAACGAGCAGATATGGCTCGAAGTGAAGGACAAGAAGATCTTGCCGGAAAGTTTCAACGTGTCCGGCGTATTCTTAGGTAATTGTAGAATGATCTAAGATTGTGTTGGAAGATCAAAGATGATTTTGAAGTTCGAAAATGCTTGTTCTAGGATATCTAAGATCCTTGATTTAGATCAACGTTTTCCAAACTGTGAGGCGCGAATATTAGTAGCAGTAAGCAATTTTCCAAATATCTGCTAAAGTATAGATACTTTCCTATGCTCTTATCCATATTGTTGTAATACGCGTTCAAAGTTGAAAAATTGAAATTAGAACGTTCGAAAAAGCAGTGTTTTCACATTTCATTGATTTACTCGAAACTATAATAGATAGAATGAAAGTATAAATTAATATAAATTGAAATTAGAACGTTCGAAAAAGCAGTGTTTTTACTCGAAAACTATAATAGATAGAATGAATCCATATATATGCATATGAAAGCTGAATGTTTGGGTCAATCCAGCAAGTATAGATACATTCCTGTGCTCTTATCCATATTGCTGTAATACGCGTTCAAATTTGAAAAATTGAAATTAGAACGTTCGAAAAAGCAGTGTTTTCACATTTCATTGATTTACTATAATAGATA